TCTCGTCTCAGTCCTTATTCATGGTGACTAAGCAAGACAAGTTATTTACACTCAAATACCTGACCTGCACATTTCTCAACTACAATAACATAGGTAAAAAGTCATTCATCTTACCCAACATTATTAAAAGCATGAGAACTCACCTCTAGCAATTGATTTTGTTGAAACCCACAAACACAAGCTGAGATAGACACAGCAGACACAAGGGAGGGCAACATGAAGAATGGCAGCCAGCAATGGATTCCTCTCACCATCTTGTCAGAGACTAGCAAATAGATTTCTGCCACAATTATCTAAACAACTTGAGATTGTCTCAAAATACACTCTGTTCTCAGGGGAGCAGCTGCCCCAGGCCCCTTCTCAGATCCCCTCTCCCAACTTCACTGCCTCCTGGCCATTCCTTCCCTTCTCACTTTGTCCATGAAGGTGTAAAGCAAGCCTCCAGCTCACTCGGGCTCACACCCCCTTCACAGAGACAGTCTAGTGCGGTGAAACGTGCATTATCTTCAGGAGTTCACCTTGTCCTCCAGCTCCCCAGAATCCCTAGCATCCCAGAGCTTTGGACTGGAGCAAGCCAGCTGGCAGTAATGGAGAGCAGCTGAGGCGGCGGGATGACAATCAAAGTCAGCTGACGACGATAAAGGCCAGTTCTCCTCCTTGCCCTGATGGCTTTGTTCAACCCCTCATCTCTCATTGCTCCCCAGCTGGTCCCAGGGAATCAATTTCCTGTCCATGCTGATAGGCCAGGACTAGGAGGAGAGCTGGACAAGGAGAGCCCTGGCTTCAGGGCATCAACAAAGTTGGCACTCTGGATTCTCATACACGTTTTACTAGTTATCTATTTCTACAATAATGGTCTTATACTGTATTTGCCCTTATGGGACTGAGTTAGTTCACTTCGCATAAGGTTCTCCAGTCCCTCCCAAGATGATCCAAGGTGGGGAGAGTAGGAACAGAGGGGTGAGGATGGGCAGAGGAGGTAATCATAGGGTCGCACAATTTGATGGGTGGAGGGAGGGGTGGGTAAAGGAAATGGGAAAGATCCTGCGTGAAAAACAACGTATATGAACTTTGTAAGTAAACCAGTATAAAATAAAAATTGTATTTAAACCCCCCCAAAACAAAGTTGGTACTCTGAGTGTTTGCTCCTACAGTTGGACTGTCTTATAAGCTTGGATTGATGTAACAGCTCCAGTCAGTAAAATTTAGGATTGTACAAGCCTTTGTGAACTGACTAGGAACTTGACCAACAATGTTTTGCTTTTGCAGGAAAATGCACTACAAAATCCTAGTTTTTAAAATCATATAATAAGACTCAGTTTGCCTGTCATAGAAAACCCCAGAGAATTAAGAAAATGGTAAAGCAATAAACGTGAGAGAACCCGCAGTATTTCTCTTTCAATACAGAAACCAGTGATTTTATGATGCAAGATTACCAACATGAGGAATCAAGTTTCAGCTGAGGCTCTAACAAGGAACATAAACTTCCAAGGCCATGTGAGTGCAAAAAGACTCCAGTAACCCCGTTGAATAATGCCATTCAAATGAAAGGCTAGGAGCACAGAAAACACAGAAGACCAGTTTAGAGAAGGAATTTATTAGGAAAAAAGCATAATTGTTCAAGAGGATTCCTTTTTACGAACATGTGGCACTAATATGGGGATTTAAAACACATCAATTGTCATTCTGTCAGTCGTAGGAACCATAAATTTTCATCAGTGTCTTCAATACAGCCTGGAAATATTCCTTCAATAACACTGGTTCTCGACCACATGCTACTTCCTAAAATGGTTTAGTGTCAACCAATTCTATTGGGCACATTGACATCATCTTTTGAGGTTTCCTGTGTCATTCAACATTTTGTTCATTGAAACCTTCATTACTGAACTCAAGATTTGGCTGTTCTCTACTCTTTCATCTTGAGAAATGGCAGATATGCTGTTTGCCTTGGTTTTTTAATTCTGAGTCTTAGCACATGTCCTTACAACATTTTATCCATTTTTAGTACTTCTAGTAGTACTTTTTAAAATATATTGAGCTCTCTTCATAATTTCTTCCTTTCCACTTAGTGTCTCAAAGTTCTAAAGAAAGTTTAAGATTCCCTTCTGACATTAATTTTGGTTTTTTCGTTATGTATGGATTGAAGCGCAACATCAAGAAAACAGAGATTCTCACCACTGGGCCAATTGGCAGCATCATGATAGATGGTGAAGAGATTGAGATTGTTGACAGCTTCAGTTTGCTTGGCTCTACAGTCAACATTTTTGGTACCAGCAGCCAGGAATTAAAAGACAAATTGCGTTGGGAAAGTCAGCTGTAAAGACTTCTCCAAAGTATTGAAGAGCAATGATGTCAGTCTGGAGACTAAGGTGTGCCTGATACAGGCCTGATACAGTCTTTGCAATTACTTGCTACTCATCAGAGAGCTGGACAATGACTAGGAATAATAGAAGAGTTGATGCCTTTGAGCTGTGGTGCTGAAGAAAACTACTGAATGTAGCATGGACTGTTAGGAGAACAAACAAATTCACCCTGGAGAGGGTGAAGCCAGGCTACTTCTTGGAGGCAAGGATTCTGAAGCTTCATCTGACATACTTTGGACACGTTGCAAGGTGGGGTCAGTCCTTGGAGAGGGATGTCATGCTTGGTAGGGTGGAGGGACAGTGCAGGAGAGGAAGACCCTGGACGAGATGGATTGACTGGAATAATGGGGATAGGTGTGTCAGAGACAACAAGATTGGCGCAGGACAGAGCAGGGTTCAGAGCTGTTATACATAATGTTGCTATGGGTTGCAAGCAACTCGATGGCACACAACAACAACAAACAAAATTCCCATTGTTTTAGAATACAGTCCCCTGTGTTTTCACTGCTGCAGTCAAGATCTTGTTACCAGTCTGTTCCTCAGAATCCTTCTCTTGTCATGGTCTGTAAATCTCTGAAGGCCAGTAGCCCACACTGTTTAGGGCCGCAGCCATGGCCTTCACTGTCCTTGCGTCGCGGGTGTGGGGTTTGAGT